AACACTGTCGTTTAAACTAAGGAGAGTAAAATTGGTATCCCAAAATATGTGCATTCCTAGTATATCCCTACACCCTGAAACCTAAAACCTAAACACCACCACCACCCCCCCCCTCCCCTCCCGCCCGGAAAAAATCAAAAATAAAGAATACATACATCCTAAACAATACTCTGCCTAAACACACACACACACTAACCCCAAAATACAAATAAAGAATACATAACCCCTAGACTATACTCTTGGGGTTTCCTGTTTTGGGGTTCCCATTACAGTCCCTGTGTCGACAGGTTCCTGCTGTCTTGGACGGCTGTGGACGCCACCTGCACTGACGCAGCAGGGATCCAAGTGATAGCTTGTCAACCAGTATGACCCTACGGATTGTATGGGATTTAGGGTATAGGGATTTCCCAAAATTAGAATACTTTTTTGGGGTGCCGACAAAATGCAGGTGCACAACTTGTTCCTAGGAGGAGAAGAAGGGTGGGTGCAGGGCTGGAGTGGTGGCAAACATCGTTGGCAGGATTTAGTGGAACTGGCAGGACAGACAGGGTGTCTTCCTTTTCAGGACTCCGCCTACGGAAATCCACGCATTTCGCATACTGGGTTTATCTCCTGGGGCCGTGCTCATGTTGTGGAATTACATCACGTCGGAGCAGAACAGCCATGCTGTAACATGCAGTAACTACCCAATATGCTGTTCTGATTCATGCGCTGAGGATGCGCGTATTTTCTAAGATTCTTGCAGGAGTAATCCTCTCCCCCTAACATTAAACCCCCACCCCCTGATATTAGATACTCCCCATTGCGGTGTATTATGGTCTACTATAGCCTTAGTATATTGGGAGTCTTTCGTATTAGGTGGGGTGGGGGGGTTGGTTGCAAGATTAGGGGGAGAGGTCAAACGCAAGGCATAGAGTTTGGTGCTGAATGTAGGGTCTGAATGGCTCATAGGCATTTCCAGACATGGGGTGCCAAACACAAACCCCCAAAGTGACATGATCCTTCTGATAGGTATGCCATAAAACGCCCTACAGAATCCCGGTTTGCAACGTTCATTGCCATGTGATTCTTCATGATTTCGTCATAGCTCCCTGGCATGAACTTTATATTTATGGACACCCCCCCCAACGTGGTAGTTTCCATAAATAGGGGGACCCAATATGGACCACCATACTCCTTCTTAGTATGGGACACCAAAAAAAAGTACCCTTATTTTTAGGAAACCCCCGACATGAGCCCTTAACCTTAAACCCTAACCCTAAACCCTAAACCCAGACCTCCAGACCTAAACCCTAGACCCTAAACCCTAACCCTAACCCTCAAACCCCATCACAAAGCCATCCGAGGCAGAGTCTGGCAATTGCAACTCTGCGGCGCCTTGGTTTAGTTGGATGTCTCCAAATGAGCGATAGTCTAAACTCCTTCAGGGGGTATTATATGGGGGATTTTATTTTCGTGGTTCTTAAGGGAGATACTAGCAGTTGAGACTATAGCTCAACTCAAGAAATGAAGGTGGGTATAGGGTTTAGGGCTAAGGTCCTTGGGGTGTGCTCGTGATAGGGGAATAGGTCATGGGGGTTGTGCAAGAATTTGGGGCCCAATGCTCTTGGACATCCACGACCTAACAATTAGGAAGTGCCCCCGTTCGCATTTGCATACTCCAAAATCCCAGTCCAAGTATTCGGGTTCTCGGCAGTCGTCAAGTAATGCCAAGAAGTCGTGAAGAAGCCTCTCCCGGAAGCTGCTATAAACCTCGCTTCAGAAAAAATCGGTTCCTCCGACGTGAGCCTAGAACCTCCATGCATATAGTGCTAGAAGCGAAAGCCTCAATACACTCGAGGCGGGGGGGGGGGGGGNNTAATTGGGGGTAGCTGATGACTTAGCATGGAGGGCCGTTTGTGCGGTGTGCTGGGGGTTTTGGCCTGGCTGTGGAATGAAGAGATCCGCTTGAAAGTTGGTCGGCAATAACCTGCAAGCGGCGACGGTCATTGTGGTGAAGACACATCTTAGATCTTCCTCTTTTTTCAGACGTTTTGCTTTGCTCTGGCAGTTGCCACCTCTAAGAGTGAGCTTTTGCATGGAGATGTGTTCACTGATTGCGCGGTCTGCTTTCAGGAGGGTTCTAGACAGGCTGCTGCTTTGCGGAACTGCCACCACTGGTGACTGTACGGGGCCCCCTGCAACATTCCCTAAGGGTCCAAGGACNNNGGGTTTTAGCGCCCAAATACCATGAATATAGTATTTGGGCGCTTAAACTCTATTATTTGGGTCCTTGGACCCTTAGGGAGTTGGATGCTCATGGCAAATTCCTGATTTCAGAGCCACGCAGAGCTGGGACGACAACATTAGGGCCCTAACTGGGCCTCTGTAGAATTCCAAGACTTAAAGCCCAACCCTAAGCCCTATACCCTAAACCCCCCACATTTTCAAGTTGAACAAGACCCGCAAGCATGCAGGATTTTCATTATCACCCGGAGGAAGAGGAGGACAGCACGAGGCCCAGTCTTGGAGGCTTTGAGTTTTCGTGAGGCAGGCAGGGTCTAATATACTTAGTCGACGTCACAATGCTGGGCTGGCTTCCAGGCACCCCCCTTAAGAAGAGATTTCCAACTTATGGAAACCCTAATCCCCAAACAGCCCTTTATAATCCCTATTTCCATGTCGTTTCCCATGCTATTGTTCGTTTGATTCTCCATTATTGGGGTAACATCCTATCCCTACATAGCCCTTTAAAGGGACCTAGCTTGTCCATTTCTATTTCAATATTGTAGGGTGGCTTTGCACTGGGCTGCTGCTGTATGATTGTGTTTGCATTATTCAACTCTTGCTCCCTCTGCACCGTTTCGGAGCAGCTATGCTTCCTGCTCAAACTCACGACCTGGTAATGAAGAGGGTGGCAGGTGCTGGTTGATGGCCCCACGATGGTAAAGCTCCCTGGACGCTGACGACAGGATCTTTTCTAAAAGATCTACAGGCCTCTGTGGTGTCATCGCGCCCGTCTGGATGGCTCTCCTAAAATGGGGGCTGTAAGTTGTTCAGTGCACAAAATGAAGACGACCTTAAGTCCAGAAGCAGCCGCCTTGACTCCTCTTCCCAAAAACTAGAATCCGTGCTGCAGGGGCCCCCAGACAGGGCCCACAAGTTGGGCGTCTCCAAGGCTAAGATTCAACGTCTCTACTGCAAGTCATTCTATTCGCTTGGGGGTGGGTCAATGCTATGTTTGTTTTGGTCCTTTTGCCTTGGATGTTAGTTTTCAGCGGGTATCTCTATACCCCAAACCACCCACTAAGGACCCAAAACCCTGTACCCTAAATCCCAACCCGCTAAGGACCCTAAACCCTACACCCACTGGGGGCCCCTCAAGCCTTTCGACTGAGGTGATGACACCACACTCCTAGCCATGCCGCAAAGGCCCAAACGAAGAGCTGCTGTTCCAAGGCCTCCGGTCAGGTTCAAGGTTTCGGGTTAAGGGTTTAGGGTCTAGGTCTGGGCTTTGGGGTGTAGGGTTTGGGGTTTAGGTTTGGGTTTAGGTTTGGAGTGTAGGGATTGGGGTTTAGGGTTCAGGGTTTAGGGGTTTGGGGGTTTAGTGTGTATGCGAGCCCAGATGCAAAGGCAAGTTTTCCCACGGAATTCATGGAAAATGAAATGGAAACTACCAGAATGGAAAATCAAGCAGAGAAGAAACGGAAACTGCTACAATGAAAAATCAAATGGAAAGGAAGTTGAAGAATGAAATGGTAACTACTACAATGGAAAATCCAATAGAAGTTTAAGAATGGAATGGTAATTTCTAGAATGGAAGCACAGATGGAAAAGACAATGGAGAATGAAATGGACGCTGGGATTACACGGGGGATAATCGGGATTGAGAGTCTTCTGGTTGCTTGGGTCGATGCGCCTTGGATAGGGGTTTTGCAGGACATGTAGTGCTACAGGGGATCTGAGAACTACGGCCAACTGCGGATGCGCAAGAACTTCCTCAGACCTTCCCAGAATTTCTGGAGGAATAGACACTCCAGTGTCACTAGCTGGCACCACATTTTGCTACCACATTTTGCTTTCGGAAAGAAGGTGCCCGGTGTGCATGCCCAAAAACGCCCCCTTAACCTTTGGGAACCACCCTCCATCTAGTAAGCCCAAACCCCAAACTCTCTTCCCCAAACCCCAAGCCCTAAGAATTAAGTCATTAAATCATTAAATCCTAAACCCCAAACCCGAAACCCCATTTAAGCCTGGGTTGTCAAGTTAAAGAGGCATAGTTGGGGCATGGAGCTTTCAAACAGTCGAGGTTTTCGTCAAGAAATTATGATGGGCATTCCTGTAGGGAGTCACAATTTGACGCCTTGCTGTTGTGCAATACCGATCTTGGGATCAGGTCAGCGGTGAGTTCATGCATTGGGCAAAGGTTGGGGGCTTGCAAAGGAACCTTTGTTGAATTTGGCGTGCGAAGCTTGTATCATGTCTAGGTGTGGTGGAATGGGTCCTCTTCATGTTGTGGGATTTCCGCTATCTGCAAGTAGGCTCATGAGTCCACACACGCCGTCCGCATGCCTGCCTGCATGAGGAGAAGAGGTTCGTCGTTGCTTTAAAGGGGGACATGCTGATTTCGGTGTATAGATTGCGCCTGAAGCAGGAACTCGGAAATTCAGTGGATGGCCAGCTTTCTGAGGGGCAAAGAACCAAATCTTGCTTCAGAAGACAGCACTCAAGTTCCTCCTGATCTGCCGCCGTTTCGGTTTTGCCCAGGATTTTGGACAACAACCTTAAGATATAGCACCTCGAATTGCCAAGCTTCATGTTTGCAATTCATTCTCTCTGACTGATGTGGCTTCAGGTGAAATACTTGAAGTGTGAGCAAGCTTGGTGGCCTTAATTAAGGAGGCCTTGCAGTACTCACAGCCGGCTTTAGGTGGTGATGATTAGAACATGAATGAATAGGCTATTGCATGTCAGTAGTGTTGGTGGTACATGGTTCCTACTCATCATAGCCAGTTGTGGGCATGGAGCACCCAGCCCCTGTGCTCGTCGCGATTCTCGCTGCAGCAGTGAAGAAGCTGCCCAAGTTGCCCACCCACTGCTGGCAGAAGGTGCACGCGTTTGTGGGCTCAGACTTCTTTCCTGAAGATCCGGAAGGTTGTTTCCCAGTGCAGCCCCGTGCCAACCCAACGCCCGGCGTCCCAGGGGACGGTCATCGCGGCTTCCAGGTCCTGTTCGTGGGTTGTACTCATGGCCGTCACTGGGCCCGATTCCGAAAATGGTTTTCGAACACTACAAAGACCCCTTCAAAAACTTCATAAGCGACAGGTATGCACTATACAGAATAGATCATTCTCGTCCCATCTCCAATCTCCAATCAGTCGGAGGTCGCCCCTCAGATGCTTTGTGGTACGAACCATCGACTACCTGCAACCGTCTCCCTGCCTTTGTGGCCGACCTTGTGAGGCCTGACGAAGAAGTACCACCACCACTAGTGTCATGATAGTACCGTTAATTCCCAGTAGTACTAGTACTGAAGGGTTTCAACTGTTGAGCTTCTGTTCCCCTTATCGCGCTCTGTCCCTCCCTCTTGGTTTTTGCTTGTGAAGAACTAAGCCTTGAATACTGGATGCTACAAGGCCTGGCTGGGAAACAGCTGTGAGATATCCGACAAGGCTCTGCTGCGACACCCACTGGCGGCTGGAGTCTGAGGAGGGATCCCTCTCCCGTTTTCTGTCCCCTTTGTTGGGAGAGCCCCGAACAAAGTTCTGGGCAGACATGATCCTCTTTGACTGGCAAGGTCTAAGTGACAGGACGCATGTGGGTGATTTTATGTGGTGTCTGAGGAGAGAACATGATAAGCTCTTCGAGCTAGATGTGCAAAGTGACATGTTGGCTCAGTATGATGCCTACATGTTCTACTTCTGCTGGTCTTGCAGCTGCTCCTTTGGTTTCGTTTGCAACCGGCTGGGGCAGCTCCAAGAAGCTCGGATTCAGGAGCGTTTTCGGGTTGAGGAGAGACAGCGTTCCGTGGGCTATGGTCTCAAAGAATATGACTGCTCCGTGCAGCGGCGCTTTGGGACTTTTCAGCATACCCCTTTGGTCGTAGTTTCGCTCCCAGGCCCCTGCCATTGTGGCGCAGAGCGCTGCAGTCGCCTGCCCACCCCAGCCGCCTCAGCGCAGGCCTTGGCCAAGAAGCTCGCCTGTCCTCTCATCGAGGTGGGCGCATCTGGCCTCCGGCCTGCAATGGAGAGCCTCTGCGAGGAAGTGCAAAGGATTGACGCTATCACCAAGCTGGCACCGGTGCAAGTTCCGCGCAACGCTCGTAGAGACCCCACCTTGCACCTGGGGAGCTCCACTTAGACCATGGGATCCGGCATTGCGGTAGTACACCTTTGATATCTTGCTGTGGTCAAGGACAGGGCTGATTTGGTGACTGGACTGGTCCTCGTCTATAACGTGTTCAACTTTGCCCTGCTGTACATCTTGTCCCTGCACGTTTGTTGCTGAGCGTTTTGGTGACAGATCTTCTATGGCCCACCAGGGAGAAGATGGAAATCCGCGGCACTTCTGGCTCATCTGTGTTGTTGCTAAGGAACTTGAGTCAAGTCACTATAATAAGGAACCCCATTATTGATCATATACCCATACCATGGTAACTTAATTTCAGCTCCTTAACAACAAGCCAGTTATAGGATTGCAATCGTCACACGTGTCAGATCAGGCTTCGTCCTTGGTCCTGATCGGGTGAGGATGCATGTTGCAAATGCAACTATGTGGCCAAGCTGCTTACTGGTTCTAAGTAGGGAATAATAAGGGAACTTAATCCCCAGATTATATATCCGCATGTTCCCTACTAAGCCCCAGTAAAGCTGTGCTTCAAGACGCCCCAAAGCTGTGACCAAAGGATTTGCACGGACACCGCACCATACCTGCCATGCCTGGACTCGTTTATGGAATGGATCCGTATGGTTTGGAGAAGGAAAGGTTTAGGGTCTAGGCTTTACTTCCTGAACAATGACTATCTCCAGGATTACCTATACTTCGCTGTTGCAACTGGTCTTCCTCTTATTCCTATTTGTATTTGTACCTGGATCACAATTTCTATTTCGGCTGCTGCTGCTGTTGCTGCTGCTTCTATTGCTGCTACTATTATTGCAGCTGCTACTGCTGCTGCTACTACTACGACTTCTTCTTGCTACTGCTACTGCTACTGCTACGCTACCGCTACGCTACTGCCACTACTGCTGCCACTACCAGGTAGGAGTCCCCTATATCCAGAACCCAGACTTTTGCGTGGAGGCGGACTGGGGAGTCCGCTGTGCGGAGCTACGACGCCACATCCTTGTTTCAGGCAGCCTTTTGCCAGGGTTTTGGTTTAGGGTTCAGGGTTTAGGGTTCGGTGCCCCTGAAGCCCTGTAGGGACAGGCCCACTGGCGAACAAGTAGAAGCTCGAATTTTCTGATGCGCGTACTTCGAAGGCTTTTTTGGAAGAGAGAAATTTGGCAAGGGCATTGATGTCGGGGACTCTAGATAGTAGTTGCCATGTTCTTTTCCATTTTCCCTATATGACCCCTACATAACCCCTAACATATACCCTTTTATAGTAAGTAGTTGCCATGTTCTTTTCCATTTTCCCTATATGACCCCTACATAACCCCTAACATATA